TCCAGACTGTGTCTTGCTTCACTTTATACAGTAATCTGAGCTCCACTGCAGCAGGACATGATGGAGGAACCACCTTCAGAACCACACTCTGACCTTTGAGCTCTTCAGTGACCGGACAGACTGGTTTGGACGGAGGAGTGAAGCACACAGCTTCTTCACATCCATGTTCATACAGCAGAATGCAGGAACCAGGATTATACACCATTTCCTTTGAGGACACAATAAATCTGGCTGGTTTACGGTCTTTTGAATCAATTAGGTTCTTAAATATCTCCAAGTTTCTCCTCATGGTCTTTTGGATCTCAGCAGAGAGCCAAGACTTTTGCTTTGAATCAGGGCCCTTCTCATCAGTTTCTCCTTGTGTTGAAGGATAAGAAGTCTGCTGAAGAAGCAGCACATCTGAGCAGTCCAGTGATGTGAATGTGTAACTCACTAGATTCCCGACCTCCAGATCCATCAAAATGGCATCTATGTTGACTTCCACCTGTGCACCAAAATCCTTCAGCTGTCTGAGGAGTGTCATTAGTCTAGAATGTTATTTATAAAGGCCAGGAAAACTACAGACATGTAACTAAAAAACACCTGGTATTAAAGCATCTTTTCTGCAGTCATACAGCATGCCCAGCTGGAAGGGTCTCCCAAGAGCTGCTGCTTCAATCACATTTAGTCCCACTGAATCCATGCTAAAGACAAACATCAGAAGAGAGAAAAATATTTATGTGATTTTATAGAAATGTACTGTATATAAACCTTCTAAAAACATGGTAATATTGTAATATGCATGAATCTGAATAAAACAAGTTTTAAACTCATCTAACAGAAAAACGAACCAAGTTAACAATTTTTGGTTCCCAGAAAATTCTCAGAATGTCCTTTTCACATTACTCTTAACTCTGGTTTATAATTCAGAAATCGTTTCATATTCCTTCGGTCTAGATTATTTTTAGGCTGTAAAAAAATAGAACCTACAAGATCCACAGCAGCCTTCTTCGTGTATTTTTATTCTGTGTCCACTTCAGTAACACTTTACAGTAAGCTTTACATTAGTTAACTACTGTGACAAGTTCAGCCTCTGTGGCTCCCTCCGATCACCACCAGAGGGAACCATCACCGGAGTACTAACCGATCCTTTCGGACTTCAATTCCCACAATGCCCCATGCCTGAGACTAATCACCTGCACAGGTGTTTCCCATTGCCCGGCCTATTTAAACTGTGCCTTCCCTGCTCTCTTTGTGAAGTCTTGTTTTGCCTTGCAGACATTTCTGAGTGGTTTCCCTGTGTTTGATTATCGGGACTGTTTACCTGTTGAGGACTGCTTGCTGCCTACCTATTCTGACCCTGCCAGCCTTGTGGATTTATGCTATTGTTTGTCTGCCGCCTGCCTTGACCTTGATCATGAACTCTGTTTACGATTCTGCCCAGCCTTCGTTGTATCTGACACCAGTTACCGATTTATGCCTGTATGACCTGCCTTGTGAACTAATAAAGCTGCACATGGATCCTAACGCTAATGCCTCCTCGTTACAACTACTTTAGTTAACATGAACTAAGCATGATCAATACTTCTACAGCATTTATTAACCTTACTTAATGTCAATTTTTCAAACATTTACTAATGCATTATTAAAATCAAAAGTTGTGCTTGTTAACATTAGTTAATGCACTGTGAATTAACATGAACTAACAGTGAACGGCTGGATTTTCATTAACTAACATTAACAAAGATGAATAAATAATGTAATAAATGTTTTGTCCATTGTTTGTTCATGCCATACATTAACTAACGTTAACTAATGGAACTTTATTGTAAAGTGTTAGCACCGCTTCCTGGTTATCAATGTGTTTTAGCAGGATTCTTCACTCACCTTCTCTGTCCTTCAAAGCGCAAAAATAATCATAATTTACAAGATATGTTGTTGTTGTTTTTTTTGTGCCATGTACTCTAATATGTCAAACATATCATACAGCTCGGATAGTCATGTGCCATATGTCATTTGAAAGGTCTCATCGAGTATAATAAAACAAACAATTGTTTGGGGCTTTTAAACTGCTAGCACCTGTTAGGCTATCAGGGACACCCTATTTTTAACATATTCAGAATACTGTTCTAAAGGACATCATTATCGATTGGAAAGTTACATTAATACATTTAGCAGACAGATATTCTTATGGATTTATTGTATAGGAAGGAAGGGAGCTTGAGCAGACAGCAACACAAAAATATCACAGCCTAATAATGCAATAGTGTGTTCAGTATTAAGATTTTTCAAAAAAGATGTTGTACTGATTTTGTCTTTTAGGCACTTTAGAAAATTGTTTTGATATGTTTGAATGAAACATAGGTTTGTTAAATCTCCGGGTATTTAAGTCATTTTAAGATAAATGACATTCTGTGATTACAAATTGCAATGAGGTGGTCATTTTGCAGCAAGGTGGACACAGTTCTGTTCATAACAGTAGACGTGCTGGTCAAGAAGTGACATGTACAATACAAATGGAGAGACAGAGATATTGGGGAAAATGAAGAAAAGTAAAAAGGGAAGTGAAGGTGCAGTTCAAGAGACAACCTTTAATTATTTTTCACGGCCCCAGGCCAATGATTTAGACCTTTTTATGTGATGGCCATTTAAATAATAGTGTTGTCTGTGGTTACAGAATTTGTAGTGGGTCAATAGGCTATATACAGAAAAAAGAGGCCAGAATGGTACCTTTTGGGGTACAACAGCTTGTCACTGGAGCAGTACCCTTAAAACGGACGTCTTTTTGCCTTTTACTCCTAAGAGGTAAATATTAGTATATATGTGTACGAATTACTATAAGGTACTAATATGTACCTATAGGGGTAAAAAAGGTACAAAGATGTTATTTTAAGGGTACTGCTCCAGTGACAAGCTGTTGCACCCCAAAAGGTACCATTCTGGCCTCTTTTTTTCTGTGTGGCCTGGATGTGTGAGATTTCTCGGCCTGAAATTGCGTCCCAGTCCGGCCCTGTAGGCTACAATTTAAAACATTTAGCTAAGGTTATATTTATTAAGAATGCTTAAAAAAATAAATAATGTGCATTCAAAGTCATATGGTTATTATATAAAGCAAACTAATAAAACATTTGAAACACGCAAAGTACTCATATGCTGGCTAAAGATGGTAAATGCAAAGATAACAGAGCAAAAAATGTTTTCAGTCACATGATCTACAAACAATTGCAGGCGTTTGTCAGTACAAAGAAAAAACGTTGTACTGTATAGCCTATTATTTTATGCACGTTTGCAACATAATTTTACAGAAAATTCCACTCATGAACACTGAATATGGTCAGTTTTATTTATGGCCAGTCTATTTATGGTGCTAAAATCGATTTGCAATTAAAAGATTCTGAAAGGTTTCAAAACTTCGTAACGAAGCTCGTATTTGTTATGCTTTAAATGCTTGTAAATGCCTCAATATTCTGTAAAATGCAGTTTTAAAGGGTATCATATGAATGACAGTTCTTCGACTAACTTTTCACGTCAATAATTGATTGTCCTTTCCTTACAGAAAAGGGAGATTGTGGATATCTTGAACGGAATAAATGGATTAAGTCTTTAGGCAGACCCTCACACACAGAGGACTGGGAAACACAAGGGAAACAGGAACTGAAGACGATCACTGGTGGAGAACGCAGGTAAGGGAAGTAACCACAACTTCAACAAACCAGACCGGACAGAGAACTGATGCGAGGTGTGTGTGCTTCAGTAGCAGTCCATGTGATGAAGGTATAATGACGTGCAGGTGTGTCTGTGATTAGTTTTCGAGAGAGTTCCTGCATTGTGATTGGCTGGGAGGAGAGCCTGGCTGGTCTGTGACAAGCCCGATGTCAGAGAAAAATGGATTCAGTTTATTTTAAGCGAACGTCCAAGTCACGTCAGTGCTAATTTACACTTGTGTTCAGCACATTTCACCACTGACTGTTTTGAGAACAAATCACAGTATGATGCTGGTTTTGCCAAAATACTTTTGCTCAAAGATCAGGCCGTGCCAGCTATTCACCGTATGTTTACAGAATCACAGTTTTGACAAATTTGTAACATTTTATAAACATTGCACAAACAAGAACATTTTAAATTTAACCAGTATATCCAACAATGCACACTACTACTAAAATGTGTTTTATACTTTTAACATATACTGACAACCACCATAATACCACAGGGGGTAAAACAGAAAGCCACATGAAGAAGCAAAGCTCATCACAAGCAGCTTTCCACAAGCTGAAGTATATACTAATATCCAGAAGGTGCACAGAGTCATTCACGCAAACAGAAAATACCATCACGGTAACACACACAACACTTAAATAATGCAATAAACATTCATTAAACAACAGAAGATATAACATAAACCCCAATGTACACAAATGATTAAAAAAATTATTGGGAAACATGATTATTTAAACAAAATACTTTCAACTGTGGAGTGTCTGGCAGGGAATATCCGTTTACAGTTATTGACTGTAAATTATACATTGATTTTTTTACTTATAAAAACTGTACAATTAACAGCATTTTACTGTAAAATGACATGAAATGTCTGGTTGCATCTTTTACAGTTTTTCCCTGTATATAGTAAAGAATCTTACTGTTATTAACATTTTATTTCTCCGTAGCATTTTTATAATATTTTACAGTTAAACTTACACTCATTTGTTACAGTGTAGTCCTGATTTATATGTCTGTGAAATCAGGCATTAGTGTATAAAAGTAATAAAAGTAAAAGAGTAGAGTGTATAAAAGTAATACAAAATATAAGAGTGTATATAAGTGTATAAAAGTAATACAAAATATAAAAGTAAAAATAAATAAAACTGTATAAAACTACCCTTAAGTGTACTTTATTACTGACATAAAATATCATTATAAAATATCAAATTATCATTCCTGTCATATTGTGATAAACGCTTACATCATCATATACAGTAGTTTTGCCTGCTCTCATAATTAGTGCAAGCTGACAGTTAATTAATCACTCGAGACAATCAATGATTTAATGAGAATGATCTAAGAGAGTAAAACTGTCCTCTATTTTCTAGACTTTGTGCAAACAGAGCCTGAATTAATAATAAAGACACACAGAAAGCTACTGTACAAAAAAAAACATGACAAACTGACCAGAACAACCAATAACTCACTTGTTTCTTAACACGTAAAAGACACTGAATGTATTTATAATGGCACTGAATGAAAGCATTAGGAGTCCATTATATAAGGTTGATATTGCTCTGCTCGTGTGATTATTGTATGATTATTTGCCTGATTTGTGATGGTTCTTGTTCACAGAGGCGTAAAGTTGACTGCAGTTTTCCTGAGCTCCAGCTGTTGCTCCTCCGATGGAAGCGTAAGTCACTTTATCATCACAGCGAACCTGAATCAACATCACAGTTACTGTTTCAACCCACAGTTATTACAGCATGAGCTTTGAGCTCAGTTCACCACACATTTATATAAGAGCAAAAGCTATACAGGTCACGCTGAGAGAAGGTGGACATCGATGAGAGGACAAGAAGTGCTTGCTCACCTTCTTCTTCTTGGCTCTGTTTTTACTGTACGCAGTAACTTCAGTATAAGTCACATCATCTGTCTGCTCCTAAACATCAGTGAAAACACAGCAAATCAAGCATTTAAAGGCCCATCCATCACTACTGTGTGAAGCAGGCTCATTATTTTACACAGCTGCTGCAAACGTTTAGGTGAAACAGGAGTCTTGTGGCAGTTTAAGTGAAATAAAGACATGATGTTATGATGACAGCAGAGTTGTGGACTCGAGTCACATGACTCGAGACTTGACTTAGACTCAAATTTGAGGACTTGCGACTTGACTCGACATAATCAAAGAAGACTTGCGACTCGACTTAGACTTTAACAACAATGAGACTTGACTTGGACTTGAGCCCTTTGACTTGGAAAGTCTTTATGGCCTACCTTCTCAAAACAGAAAACAGAGTTGTGATAAGCTGGTTACTGGTTACTGAATTTGTTTGAGCCACAAAATACATTGACTGTTGCATGCCTCATTTGAACGGTCTGCCGAACATGTTCGGTTTATTTGTGGCCACGACACATAACTCGTAAACTCGACATATAAACTCAACCCTAGTAGGATTATTAAAATATTAACATTTTATTATGAATGAAGAATAACCTAAAGACAGTGCAGTGTCATGATTATAACTATATTACTAGTTTGCGCTCCTCTCCGTGACAGCATGACATTTGAATAATTTGTTGTTATCAGTATTTGTTGAAGGAATAGCCTATGTAAGAACATAAAATAATATAGAGCTACAAAACACATTTATTCATTCCTTCCGTCTATTAAATCCATTCACTGATGGGTTCTTATTTTCATTTAAGATTTGTAGCCGATACATTATAACTATTGTTATATATTTACTTTTCAGCTGCATTAAAGCTATGTCTATTTCTGTAGACCTACGCCAGTAGGTGGCGATAAATGAGCATCTGATTTACATATTAGCAAGTTATAAATATTTGACTTAATTGATTCATTAAAATCACTGAATCATTTAAAAATGAAGCAGTGAACATGAAAGAAATTATTCATTCACTTAGACCTATGATTTGTTCCCACACAATGATTCATTCCTCCACGAACCACCACTAATTATTATATCTTTATTATTATTATACTTAATTATACTTATTATGGACTATCAATGGCTTGACATTTACTGTAGTAATTAATACAGAGATGCTAATTTGGGCAAACAGAATTAATTACTTGTTTAGGACGTGAAGCTTAAAGATGAGGACTTACAACTCGACTTTGACTTGTCTGTCTTGACTCGGGACTTGAATGCAAAGACTCGAGACTAACTTGTGACTTGCAGAACAATGACTTGGTCCCACCACTGGATGACAGATCCTATTGTAACATGACGGGAAAATTACCAGAGAAACTGTCAAATATTCACAGATATGAAAAAATACACAAATTATTGAAGATGAATCATATTGTTCAACAGGAGTAGTATGAATGGAAGTGTTGATTGTGTCATTGTTTCCATTCTATTTATTTCTATCGCTGAGCTTTAGAGCAGAAACAGTAGAGATATACTAACTTGTCATGATCTAATGTGAGTAATAAGAGTGTGATATTTCAGAGTCTGTCCTCTGTGGAGCTCATGAACACTAACAGCTCATGATCAACCCACAAAACTCACCACAGAGTCATCAGTCGCTCTTCTGACAGCTGAAAAATAATGCATGGAAACAGTTACGATCAAACACTCAATGCAGTCTCTAACGCAGATGACAATCAATTTCTGAAAGAGTCAAGAAAACATTAGTTTTAAATCCGTTTAAAAACTCACCGGCTCTTTTTCTACGACTCATCAGCCAAAGAATCAGCGCAGGAAGGAGAAGAGCGAATGAAGCGCAGACAGCAATCACAATCACTGAGAGAGAGAGACGATACAGAGCGACACATTCAGCATTACTGTGTTTAACCAAATATAGACAAACAACTGCTACAAATTAAATGATAAATGACTCATTTAACACTAGCATAATTATCCTTAAGAAAATTAATGCTTGTGATGAGGATTTCATAGAAAGTTCATCTGTGCTGGTTCTCTGAGCTGCTGTTGGCACTTCATAGTTCAGCAGATATAAAGTGTGATATCAGCTTAAAGTTTACACTAAAAAAGCAGTCAATCACAATGTACAAAACAACTGGCCGAGCAACAACGTGAACACTACAACAATATTACAGTAATATTAATACTGACGTCCTCTGAGGTCATTTTCATGACTGTCCATTACTGAGACACAGGATGGTTCAGTTGTGTTTGTATGAAAGCAGTGCTGGATTCAGTACTACTAATAATCAGGCAGGTGTCTGATATAGAGTGTTGCCATGGACAGCAGTGACCAATCAGTATTTTCTTGAGAGTTGTTTATTTGAGCTGAAAGTCATCTGCACACTAACAGACTGTACCTCACATTAACCAAATGGCCATGACATAGACATGATTGTCTGGGTGAGAATGATGTCTCTTTTGCATTAAATGGAGTTACTTTTCAGTAACGGTACAGTTTTCATGTTTAAGGATGATGCACTAGAGAATGAAATGAGAATGTGATGTAGATTACAGATGAAGCATGGCTTGAGTCATAGTCTGTGATCAGCTGCTGATAAGGATAAAGTGATAAAGTGGAGATAAGGTTAGAAAGTTTGAAGCTTACTGAGACACAGGAAAGTGCCAGTTGTGTTTGTAGTTTGTAGATGACATTTGTGAGGACAAAGCCAGTCTGTGAGAACGACTGCTGGTGTGTGACAGTGAAGATGAACCTTGTGCAGGAGCTGCTGCTCTAGTTCGGCTTGATTTCTTCTCAGAGTTTGAGTAACGTCACAGTTTTATACTTGATCATTACATGACACACAGTTTGTGTTCCCTCATCACTGTTTACAGTGGCAGTTGTTAAGAAGAGAGGTGTTACTATGTAATTTATGCCTCCTTTATATGAGACTGAAACACAATGAGAAAGAGTCAAATTGATCTCTGAAAGTTTTCACAAATCCACTTTTGTCTGAAAAGAGTGTTTTTGGCCATTATAGTCTATTTGTTGAATGATAACGGGCTGCCTTTAACGTTTAAAATAGCCTTTTTAAAAAAAGATTAAAGATGTTAACTTAAGGACTCAAGAAATGGTTAAAAGCCAAAAACCACACTGTGAAATATTTCACAAATCAGAATAGTCTATTTGAGCCCATCTCAATGGCTATTTTCTTATAGAGCTGATTTCTCTAATGGCTTACACCGTTAAAGATCGACTTAGCCTGTAAGTAATTATTACACAAGATAATGGATAATAGAAACAATGAAATGAGACGATAAAATGTGATTGTGAAAGTTTTCACAAATCAGGCACTAAAACAAGTGATTTTGCATTGACACAGACTGTGTGTTTGTTTGGAAGTAGCCATTAAACACGAACGCTTATTTTCCACATTCTCGACTAGAGGAATTACACGGGCTGACTAAAGAGCAACAATCCCAAAACCAACTGATCATGCCGAGTACAGTTGAAATATGCAGCTAACAGATAGCATGCATTGAACAAATAAAGCACTGTTTATCACTGCACTGGTATTAGCACATCTATGTTCATTACATGATGCAACAAACACCACAGTCATCATCTACAACCAAACCACGAGCTCTACTCTTCAGCACAGTTATAACCACAAAACTTAAACAGAAACTCTTTAAAAAGTCTAAAATAACTAAACATTAAAACTTGACTTTCAAAATCCATAATATAACACTTCATTTTCATCACTTTATTTTATTGAAACGACTCTTTTAATGTAAGTGATTACATGCATATGTTAATCTGGACACGAGAGGATTCAGTAAAACGACAGAGAAAGTTCATTTGACTGTACCTTGTGTAGAAGTTACTGCTGCCGTTGAATCAGCTTGAGCTGTAAAAGATGAATGTTAGTTCAGACGCATCAAACTGTAAAACGGGTTTTCAAAGTGTCTGTGAAATATTTTTCTATACCGTATTTTTCAAACCACAAGATTTAATCATCCGGAACTCTACAATTCTTTATTTTATAAAAGTAGTATGTTTTATGGAAGGATATTTCTGACTATTTTCAAACGGAATTGCAAATTGTATTTTCAATTGCATTTTCCATATTGTGACATAATCCAAACCCAATTGCAATTGTGCAAATCTTGCATTACCGTTTGTGTTTTCGCTTTCGCGGATGCACAGTGACTGCACAAATTTCAAATGGAAAAGCAAAGTCCATTTGCAACTGTATTTCCCATGTCTTACATGTTATGAGCCCGTCATATTTAAATCTCTCTGCAGTGTGCATGTAACATGCCAAAACTCAAATGGAATTGGAATTCCTTTTGCATTTGAATTTCAGATGCCTTAAGCGGGACTAAACTAAGGGGTGTGTTTGTATTGGGCGGTGACATCACTCACAGACGATTTTGCCGGAAGTACACAAATTTTAAACACAAAATAACACAAATCACAGACTCTTCTGTCATCATGTGAGATTAAATTAATAATTTGCCCTTTTTAAATTGACCACATAATCATAAAATTACCATGAAGAACATGCAGATAAACATGTGCGTCAGTTCCTTGTTTTTGGTCTCTATTCACACCAGTCCATTGTTGGCAGGTGTAAGATCCATAATCTTCTTTTGAGATGTTGTTGATGTTCAGAGAGCAGTTAGACCCCAGACTCAGTCTCTCATGTCTCTCTGTGTTGTTCTTCTTTATCCCTAAACCAATCAGTTCAACTGCTGCTGAATCTCTGAATCTGTTATAGTTCCATGTAGTTGATTTGCAGTCATGAAGAGCATTATTACAGAGCAGACGGACATCTTCACCAGAACTGATGAACACATGAGCATCATCCACTCCACTGATACCTGAAACACAAGAACATCTGATCATTATGTTATATATTAATAAATGAAAACAAAAAACATACCAGCATAAAAAGTATTTTTTCCTCAATTAATGCAAACAACACACTCTCCAGAATAAACTATTGTTCTTTATTAGAGCTGTTCAAATCACAAACACACTATGTTAGGAATATATATATATATATATATATATAAATATATATATATATATA